GTTACTTTAACCTCTACTAAAACGTCTAGTAGAAGTGAGATGTCTGTGCTAATGAATCAAAAGCCAGAGGTTAATGCTTATATAGTGGTCAGTCTGTATTCTTTATTTCGGCAGGACTCAGTACCTACAGTTTTAACCCTTTTTCTTGCCCACTGAATCAGAGACTTATTCACATAAAAACTAGACAATGGTGGATGGTATGCAAGTGGGTTACAAGTAGCTGTTGTTATGATACTGATAACAGTGGGCAGCGAAGTTGTACGTTGGTCAAATGTGAACCCAAATGAAGGTTAGTGTACCAGAACATTCCCACATGCAAGGAATTCATTTATTATAGGAAATATACACACGAGTTCATGCATGCCTATAGAAATGACACTTGATTTTGGCCTAGTTTAACACACTCTGTATCTCAAACTTGCTTTCAAAGCAGAGAGTGGTAGTAACTTTGAAACACACACACCTCTATGTGAACTTCTGACCAATCAGAATTCAGCTGATCTCACAATGTAATCCTGACTTTTCCAAATAAAATCAAGTACTTAACCCTTCTGGTTATCCAGTCCACTCAATTAGCCAACTATATTTGTGTTTGCTTAATTGCATGTGCTTTTATTCACTGCTAGCAATGCTAGCACTTTGAGTTTTCGTTGTTTTTGGTCTGTTCTTCAAACTCGGTCAAAGTGATGTATTTCTCGACTTTCCTCGTGCTACTGCGGTACTGCTTCTAAATCTTAATTCATCAGTATACCTGAGAATAATATATATACATAACTTTTATACAACATAAAAACCTTGGGAATATTTAAGTTGTAAGCTACAGACACGTGAGCGAAATTCATTTCAACTGTAAACATCGAATCGTTAAGTTAATGATCAACTTAATTTTCATACGACAACTACGTTAAATTATATTCTTTACTTCCATATAGTTTATCTGACATCAATCAACTGAGATTATTAAACTTAACCCTTCACTCCAACATCGGAAACATCCATATACTGTTCCTTTGCCGGAAGTTAAAGATTTGCCATTTTAACTATGCTATGTATTAACCTGAAACGAAACCCAAAGTTTAGTAATAGTGAATGACAGAACACTTCATGTATCTCTCAATAATTTATGAAGACGTATTCGATGACGAGGAACCCACTTTGAGACTAATAATGGCTGAAGACGGCTTGAATGGGTAATGAAGAAAAACTTTAATATAAGTTTAACATAACAGCAAATGTACAACGTTTCGACAAGGTTTTGTCATCATCAGGCCGTCTCCAGCCATTATTATGAAGACGTAGTTAAAAAGATGGTGCTGCCACCTATATTCATGTATATGTATAAATACTAGTAAGATAACACACATATATAAGTTAAAACACCTGGCTTATTTTACTAATCTTTACAGCCAAATATATACTTTGATTTTTTATATTCAAAATGCTTACCTGCAAGCATCAGTGTTTCAAGCGTTATAATGAAAAAAAAAGAAAAACATACTCTTTTCAGCAAAAATTAGATGTAATTCAGTATGTTGTACTTACCTACATCAGTGAAACTCTAAATCGATCAAGGAAAATTCGTTCTTGCGTGGGTTCCTCTCGTTGCTATTGGTAACCGGTGTGTGAGCCTACGTCATCACCCGTTTTCTATTGAAAACAATGCGGGACTTCATTTTCTCATACCCTGAACGACCGATTGCCTTACAAGAACGAAATCGTGCAGAATGGAGAGGTTATCACTGTTTTGGAAAATAGTGATTCTTTTAGTCGTGGTGATTGGTTTTACTCTCGTCAGCCCACAGCGTATTCCACCATCACGGTCAAATGTAGATACATCCAATCTTCTAGATATCAAGCCGCACGAGCTGCAGAAGTTTGTCGCGGGTGGTTCGGGGCTTAAACTCCTTTATTTCTACACGAATGGTAAATAACTTCAAGACTTACCTGATTCATTTTTGTTAATATAAGTTGTTCCATTATTACTCTTTAGATATATCTAAAACTGTCTGGTCAACATAGATATACCTAAAACTGTCTGGTCAACATAGATATATCTAAAACTGTCTGGTCAACATAGATATATCTAAAACTGTCTGGTCAACATATATATATCTAAAACTGTCTGGTCAACATAAATATATCTAAAACTGTCTGGTCAATATATATATATATCTAAAACTGTCTGGTCAACATAGATATATCTAAAACTGTCTGGTCAACATAGATATATCTAAAACTGTCTGGTCAACATAATGAGATACTAGTTCTTCTTTATTATATTTTTTTATGTTTCGTAAAATGTCACGTTTTATTTGATTCTTTCTTTTTCGTTCTATAGAAATATTTAGAATTTCAGCATTAAAAAAAACCTAGTAATATCTAGGGTGGTAAATCTTTGTTTGTTCCTAAAAAATTACACTTGAATACAAAACATTCACCAAAAGTCATTCAGATTTTGGGGGATTTCAAAACCATAAATACCATTTGATTACTGACGTCTGTTGCCCGTTAATAACGTATTTTGTTATATTCAAAGATAAAAGCTATAAAAGTTAAAATAATCGTTTTACTCGAGTCTACTTGATGTACAATGACAAACACAACGGTGTAAATACCATAACTTTTGGAAGGGAGGAAGAGTGTACTCTAGCTATTAAACATTGTTCATATAATTTTGTTTTCGTTTCTCTTTCGATAATTTATCAAGTAAATACAAGTGATATCAAAACGCAGCAGTGAACAGCTAGTTACAACCGACATAAAAATAATTTGGAACAAAAAAAAAAGCTAATTATAAAATCGTAATAGGTTACGTCACAACATCACTATTATTTAGAGGGATGCCCAATAGAGGGCGGTCTAACAATTTTCACAACTGAAACAACATAAAGCTTATGAGGTTAAAGTCGATGGAGTTTTATTTCATGCCTTTTATTTATTTTACCACTTCGAGTATTTGACTTTTTTAATGTGGTTTTTGGTTATATTCATATGAGTAACACAAAAAATTATAAAACTTAAAATTAAGTTATTAATGCAGCAAATGTGTACGGTTTCTTGATTTATGATATAACTAGTACAACAGTAATAATGTTATCCAACTGACTGTCCTTATTGGAGTCAGTAATATTTTTATCTTCATTGTTTACTAGATACTTATCATTTGTGCACTTTTAACCTTTCCCCCCATTAGTGGCACAGCGGTTTCGATACCCGTGATTGGCAGAGCACAGATAGCCAGAAGTTAAAGATCTGCCAATCTAACTATGCTATAACCTGAGACGAAACGCTAGAAACCGGGCTTTGATACCCGTGATGGGCAGAGCACAGATAGCCCTTTGTGTAGCTTTGTGCTTAACTACAAACAAACAAACAGGTTTAGCCTCTGCTACAACTTCCTTCTCTTCGCTATGATGCTATTATAAGCTAAATAAATATATTAGTAGAATAATTCAATGAACAATACGCTGAAATGGATCCTATATTTGCTTATTTATATATATTTGTTCACATATTATTTAGTTAATTTCACCGGTCAACAAAATCGAACTTTTTTCCTCTCATCAAAGATGTAAACACACTTTTCTAGACCAGATTTCTAAGCTGATTCCAAATCGGTTTTCTTCTAGTACAGCTAGTTATCGAAGTATGACTGGTATTAATTTCAGCACAATTTAGGTAATAATCACACATTAGGCTAGTTAACATTACAAACTTATTAATTTTTCATTATAATTCCCATAAACGTTATACACACCATACACTTGGCTAAATTTATACAGTACACACTTACGAAAAAAGAAATGCACAACAACTTAAATTATAATTAAGGCAATAACCTTTTAAAGTTGATCGGTCTCATCACGAAAACTTGACGTGCTAGAGGAAAACAAAACAGATTTGGAATCAACGTACCAAGAGCTATCTAGTCCATCTATAATTATATCTGATAACAATGACTTGTTGGCCAGTGTTATTTAACGGAACTTGTTTGGGCTGATTGAATTAGGCAGAAAGGCATTTGTTACTAGAAGTAGGAGGATCGTCTTCACGACATAATAATAACAATAAATAGAAACTAATTAAAATGTCGTGCATTATTTCTGTCATGTAAACTCGATGATTGGAATCAGAATCTACATCACGACCATTGACTTGAAGAACAATAGCGAGCTGAGAAACAACTGAAACACTTGAACAAAACACAAGCTTATATACGCTGATAATTAGAAATATAATACGTTAATTTTTAACACTATAAAATTAGAGATTGTTTAATGGTTTGTTTAGTGTGATACAAAAATTTTTCTTCAATAAAAAACTGACTGTGCTTTTTATGTAGTCTTGTTTGTTTGTAATTATGCACAAAGCTACACAATGAGCTATCTGTGCTTTGCTCACCACGGGTATCGAAACCCGGTTTCTAGCGTTGTAAGTCCGCAGACACACCGCTGTGCCACTGGGCGGCTTTTATGTTGTCAACAGATTTGTTTTTTAAGGCTTTTTATGTATATTGTTCTCGCACCTATATGATTTTCATGTTTTTTTTTTACCTTTTACGTAAATTACTTAAACGTATAAAAATATGTGCCTTTTGTCTTTGTCACGTGAGCTACCTTTTTTATTGTATATTATTATTATTATTAACTAGCCCAAGGCTTTAATTAAGCTTTTGACTTTCACGTGTTTCAGAACAGCCTACAAATCCAGAGTTTGTTGAGGAACTCAATAAAGCCGCTGCTCATCTCCACACTCAAAAGTATGGGGTCAAGGTCGCCAAGGTGAGGTCAAGCTCTTCAAAGAATATTACATCTGGTGTAAATTAGCTATGAAAGATTTTGATGTTTATAAATCCGGCAATTTACAAACTTACAGAATTTCTCCAATTCAAGGCATCTTCACTTTCCTTTGTCATCGGTTGAACTGAAAATAAAACAAACCAAAACGTATTTCATCAGACATTCAGCTCTATATAATAGTGAAGAAGAAGAAAAATGAGTGCTATTAATTTCTCGGAATCTATACAATATTAGTTACATTTTATTTGTGCCAACAATTTGGGCAAAAATACAAAGTTCGTAACTTAAAATTTTCAGGAGTAGAACTACCGGTAAAATAAAGGGATTCGAGCAAACTTACTTTAAGATATTATAACTGTAAATTTTTAGACGTTACAATAAAGTTCTATTAAGAGATACACACTGAAAATATGGTAATTTTGCTATTAGATATAAAATATTGGCATTAAGTACAAGAAAGTCATATCATCTCAAGGTTATACAGTTTATAACCGTATAACTTTTTACTCCACACAGGTAGACTGCCGAGAGCATGGCTTGTCTTTCTGCAAAGAAAAATCAATACAGAGCAATGTGTTTGCACTCAGGTATGTAATGATGTAATGTTTCACATCTTTTCGCACTCGTGCAAGTTTCACATCAAAAGCGGGTCTTTTCACACTCATGCATGTTTCACACACAAAGAGGGTTTTTTTCACACTCGTGCAAGTTTCGCATCAAAAGAGGGGTCTTTTCACACTCGTGTAAGTTTCACGTCAAAATAGGGGTATTTTCACACTTGTGCAAGTTTCACATCAAAAGCGGGTCTTTTCACACTCATGCATGTTTCACACACAAAGAGGGGGTCTTTTCACACTCGTGCAAGTTTCGCATCAAAAGAGGGGTCTTTTCACACTCGTGTAAGTTTCACATCAAAAGCGGGTCTTTTCATACTCGTGCAACTTTCTTATCAAAGGCGGGTCTTTTCACAACCCGTGCAAGTTTCACATCAAAAGCGGGTCTTTTCACACTCGTGTAAACTGCTACGAGGCTGCATTTAGTTTTACAAACTCCGCGTTCGTGAAAAATGTAGTAATACACAGGAAACGCGGGAAGTTAGTAAGTTTGCAAAATAAAATAAACGATGAATTAACTCACTTATAAAGTTTCTTCGTGTTATATTTGTAAATTGAGTCGTCTTGTTTCCAGTTTTTGATTAACAGTTAGTTATAATTACGATAATTATCAACGAAAGAAACGTTTGTAAGTAGTGGTTTATCATTAATTACAATGAGGACAACGCTGATGTAGTACATAAACAAACTAGTAGAGGTTTACCATTAATTACAATGAAGACAACGCTGATGTAGTACATAAACAAACTAGTAGAGGTTTACCATTAAATACAATGAAAACAACGCTGATGTAGTACATGAACAAACTAGTAAAGGTTTATCATTAATTACAATGAAGACAACGATGATGTAGTACATAAACAAACTAGTAAAGGTTTATCATTAATTACAATGAAGACAACGATGATGTAGTACATAAACAAACTAGTAAAGGTTTATCATTAATTACAATGAAGACAACGATGATGTAGTACATAAACAAACTAGTAAAGGTTTACCATTAATTACAATGAAGACAACGCTGATGTAGTACATAAACAAACTAGTAGAGGTTTACCATTAATTACAATGAAGACAACGCTGATGTAGTACATAAACAAACTAGTAGAGGTTTACCATTAATTACAATGAAGACAACGATGATGTAGTACATAAACAAACTAGTAGAGGTTTACCATTAATTGCAATGAAGACAACGCTGATGTAGTACATAAACAAACTAGTAGAAGTTTACCATTAATTACAATGAAGACAACGCTGATGTAGTACATAAACAAACTAGTAGAGGTTTACCATTAATTACAATGAAGACAACGCTGATGTAGTACATAAAGAAATTAGTAGAGGTTTACCATTAATTGCAATGAAGACAACGCTGATGTAGTACATAAAGAAATTAGTAGAGGTTTACCATTAATTGCAATGAAGACAACGCTGATGTAGTACATAAACAAATTAGTAAAGGTTTACCATTAATTACAATGAGGACAACGCTGTTGTAGTACAAAAACAAACTAGTAGAGGTTTACCATTAATTACAATGAGGACAACGCTGTTGTAGTACAAAAACAAACTAGTAGAGGTTTACCATTAATTACAATGAAGACAACGCTGATGTACTACATAAACAAACTAGTAGAGGTTTACCATTAATTACAATGAAAACAACGCTGATGTAGTACATGAACAAACTAGTAGAGGTTTAGCATTAATTACAATGAAGACAACGCTGATGTAGTACATGAACAAACTAGTAGAGGTTTACCATTAATTACAATGAAAACAACGTTGATGTAGTGCATGAACAAACTAGTAGAGGTTTAGCATTAATTACAATGAAGACAACGCTGATGTAGTACATGAACAAACTAGTAGAGGTTTACCATTAATTACAATGAA